GAAGCATAATTTAGTTTCCAGAAGGAAAAATATTATAAAAAATACTTATACTTAGATTCTTGGATTAGATGTGTGGATAAGTATGAATGTGTATGTGCACATGTGTGCATGCATACATGTGTGTGTGTGTGTGTGTGTATGTGTGTATTAGTAAGGAATAAAGATTCAGTGGGAAAGATTTTTCAGGAAACTAGTGAAATGTTGCCCCCTCTTCCTGGTTGTCCGGTGAAATAGAAGCGGTGAGTACTATTCATTAAGAAGAAATTGTTCTCCAAATAGGTAAAAATGACATAATGGGTCAGATCAATTATTCGCCAGTGTAGAAATGTGAAAGGCTGACAGTGGTGTCAATAGATTATTTTATGGAGATAATAATAATTATAGTCACTCTTTGCTGAGTACCTACTGTGTGGCAGGTTCTGCTTGGCAATTTATATACGATATGGTATTTAATCCTTACGGTTAAACTTAGCAGATATTACCCTCTCAAATTTATAGAAGAAACTGAGACTGAGAGAGGATCACACATTGTCCAAGGTAAGTAGCAGGGACAAGGTCGATAAAACAAATCTGTATTGTGCCAAGGCCATAGTACTTTTACTACTTGCAGGTAGTTCCTTTACATAATGTTATCCTCACAAGTACCCATCATTTAAGTTTTTTAACTTAAAATTTTATATTTATGATTAAAAAAATAATTACTGTATGTCTGTGGTTCAAAATTCAAAATATACAAAAGTGTAGAATGAAAAAAAATCTCCTTTGCTCTCCAATTTTCCAGCCTTTTAGGTCCTCTTCCCAGTGAAAGTCCCTCAACCAATTTCTTGTGTATATTCTATACATTCACACACAGATAGATAGGCAAGCCCCTCTCCCTACCTCTCTCTCTTTCTCTCTTACTTTCTCTTTCTCATGCCCCACCCCAACCTCTTTGCACAAAAATGTTAGCATAGTGAATTCACAGTTATGCACCTTATATTTTTCACTTGACAATATATTTTAGTGATCCTTCCAGACTCTGAATACTCTTAATTGTGCATTTATAAACTCTGGTGGATCTATTAGTACTAAAATTGTCTAGAGAAGTTTACATTTTCAGCCTAAACAACCTCTTGTAAATGTATAAGTGGTATTTTCTGGGTTTGATCAGAAGTGGGCAGAAGGAGAGTGATTCCCTTCCTTCTCGGATCCATATTTTGAAGCAGGAGTAGCTATATTACTTCCACAACTCAGTCGTTAAATTATAAGTATACAGATAAAAAATCTAAATTAAATACTGATTACCAGGACGAAGGACAGAAAACAAAATGATAAAATAAGAATTGGAGGGCACGAGTGTGTATAACAAACAACTGAGTTGAATATAAATATGAGTGATACAAAATCTGAAATTAAAAAATATGTTTGATATATAAACATAGCCTTAAGGGTAGACTATCAAAATAGAATAAAACAAAATAAAAGCATGTAGGAGGAAAAAAATGCATCCAACTGAACTAGCAGAAGTCACACCGCCAATTCCTAACCTGTAATTCCTCTGAAGAACAATTCACACCACCAAGAAAAGAAAAGCTCTTAAATATAGAAAGCAAAAGCCTTATCAGTACAGATGCCCAGCATTTAGGAAACAATTTGGACACAGAAGAAAAAAAAAAAAATCTCTTTTCTCCATGATGTGGCAGCAGAAAATAGATAAAAAAGCATCAGACAGAGGAGTCCAGCAGGGACTAAATAAAAATGGGGAGGATTTTCACATTCAGAAACATGGAGAAAAGAGCACTCAACTTGCTGACAAGCAGAAGAACAACGCAAATGATTTCTCTGTTTTAATTTTAGCAATGGCTCTAAAATTTTTAGCTCTCCATTTAGTTGCTTAAGAGGCTTTGAGCCATTTCTCTGAATGTAGGAAAAGTATGGACTGGCATCCTAGCTGCAAAGTTTTGCATGCCCACTCTGAATCATCCACTCAAGTATCGAATTCAGTTCACTCCCATGAACATGCATTGGGTCCTTCTTATGGGCAAGGTGGTGCAAGGTGTTGAAATGCACAATGAAAGTATGAAGAACATTTTTTTTTTTTCATTAAGATTCTTGCCTTGACTATAGAAGGACAGGGTAAAATGCTTTCTAATCAAGCACTCTTCTACATTTACGTTATTTAGCTCCACGATACTCAGCTGCCTCTTTACTTGGGTTCAGAACATTCCTTAGAACAGTCTTTGATTTTATAGCTTCCATTGGCAAGAAATGGGCTCAATATACCCATGCTCATGATCTGAGATCTTCTTAGCTTATGTCCTTAGATCTCTGATTACTTACATCAGTTTCTCAGGAATTCATCTTGAATTCTCTAAGCCTTGACTTTCTAACAAACAATAAGTTGGGTGGGTGTTTATTACCTTTGGACTTACACAGATATATATGTGGATGTATATATCTCTCTGTCTCCTTTCTTAGGAAACTTGAGATAGGCTGGAGAAATGCAAAAATTTGCAAATGGATAAAAGAGGAATCCCAGAATCCAGGAACACAAGGGAAGGAAAATATCAAACCAGATAATGTGTGACTCAGTCATTTGACACGGGGGCTGCCAGTTTGGCTCCAAGCTTCACAACTGACCAAGGCAAAAGAAGAAACACTATTCTAAGATTCACAGGGTCTAAAAAGTTCAGGACAAGCTAGTTGCTACAAGAAAGCACAGATTTTCTGGGTACTGAGAGAAATTTCTCTACTGGATTCTCAGTGTTATAAAAATGACATTGTGATGTATATTAGATGATATAAAAATGCCTTAGAATTTTCACCTGACGTTTTCTCATAACATGCCTTAATGTAGGAGGACGGCTGGTATCAAAAGGTAATTCAGTTATCGTACGGCTAGGAGGGACCATACATTCTCAACTTCAGCCAGTTTCCTCTATCAGAATGAGGATTTCTTAATTCTATTCTGACCTGCTTAGGGCTTCCATCTAGGGTAGCAATATTAAAACAATTCATTTGAATTAGAGATATTTAAATTACAAGCAGTGGTTTATCATAATTTAGATAAAATAACATAGGTAAGGAAAGCAAGCCTAGCACAGGACCTGGCATAGAATAGGAGATAAAGAAATAGAAGTTTTCATCAGTCCCTTAGCATAAAGCATTCCCCTGGAGAAAATGATAAATTTAGCAATGCAGCATAGTGAAAAGACCATGACCGTGGAGGTAAGAAAATACAGCTCAGTCACAGGGCTTGTTACCTGAGGTCTTGCAGCCTCCACTTTCTCTTCTGTGAAATGGGGATAATAGCCAGTGAATAAATAACCTGAAACAATTCATACCAAGCTCCTAGCTTAGCACCTGGAGCAGAACAGAGACTGAATACATTAGACTACTTTCTTACTCCTAAAATCACAGAATCAAGTAATACATAGGAGTTCGAAAGGATCACAAAATCCAGTGACTTTGAGGGAATCAAAACACACACACACACACACACACACACACACACACACACACACACACACACACACACACAC